AACACTGAATTTGTTCGTTCTTCTGGCAGTCCATGGTATATTCAGTATCCTTTGCCAACACCACAGTTCGAATGCGTCAATTCTTCTGTCTTCCTTTTTCATTGCCCAGCTTTCCCATGCATATGAGGCGATTGAAAAGATCACGGCTTGGGTCAGGCACATCTTAGTCATCAGAGGGACATCTTTGCTTTTTAAAAATTTAAAGAGGTTTTTACAGATCATTGCTTCTATGGACACTGATTGTTGATCCAAGTCGAATGGAATTGTTGACAACTTCAATTTTTTCTCCATTTATCATGATATTGTTTATAGGTCCAGTTGTGAGGATTTTCATTTTCTTCATGTTCAGGCATAATCCATACTGAAAGTTTTATCTTTATTATAAACAAATCTGCCCTCTGACCTGGAGGGGGACACTATCTGTCTTCCCAGGCTGTTTGCCATGCAGACAACCTTGGAAAGGTCGTTTAGAACAAAATCTGTCAATGAGTTTGCTCAGAAGAGGGATAGTGACACAAGAGACCCATGGAGAATAGTCTCCCAGCAAAGCAACACAGTCTGGCTCTCCTGAAACATATATGATAGTAAGGGGGGAACAAATAGCAAACACATGACTAAATAAAGGAACAAGAAAATGTCAGAGGATTATAAGTTACGGGGACGGAATGAGAAATTGCAGTAAGGTATGTTAGCTAGAAAGTGAAGTTGACAGGTTTTTGTCAGCTGCCGTTGAGTCGGCCCCTGACTCTTGGCGACCCCATGCACAATGGAACAAAAAGCTGTCGTGTCCTGCACCATCCCTATGATCAGTTGCAGGTTAGACGGTTGTGATCCATAGGGTTTTCATTGACTGATTTTCAGAAGTAGATCTCCAGGCCTTTCTTTCTAGTCCATCTTAGTGTGGAAGCTCTGTTGAAACCTGTTCAGCATCAGAGAAACATGCAAGCCTGCTAGTGGCTATGCATGAGGTGTACTGGCCAGGAATCAAACCCTGGTCTCCTGCATGGAAGGCAAGAACTGCCATTGCTCCTGAAGTGGCAGGAGGGCACCTTTATCCAGGGTGGTCAGGGAAGCCTCCTGCAAGGTGGGGCTCCTGAGCAGAGGGAAGCCATCAGTGTTGGGAACATATGAGAGAAAAGCTGGAAAACAAATATGCAAATCATCCAAATTTGGGGTTTTAGTCTGGAGTCATTTCCTGTAAAATTTATTTCTCATGATATTTTACAAACATAAAAGAAGAGGCATACCCCTCACAATTTTACATTTTAAGTTATTAGGCTTGTATGTGTTGCCTGATGGCATGACCCTCTGCAACTGAAGATGAATAACTCAAGCAATTTTACTGACAACAGATCATTGTTCTCTTGGAAAAGGAAATTTATCAGAATTGGAAGAAGACTCATTAACAACCTGCGATATGCAGATGACACAACCTTGCTTGTTGAAAGTGAAGATGACTTGAAGCACTTACTGGTGACAATCAAAGACCACAGCCTTCAGTATGGATTACACCTCAACATAAAGAAAACAAAAATCCTCACAGCTGGACCAATAAGCAACATCATGATAAATGGAGA